CCACACCTTTTGGTCTTATTCATCGAGAAAAGCTCACACAGTATCATAAGGAATCTCTTTAAACTGAGGAATGAACTCGAATTCTACCAGTACCGCGTGGGATCAGAGAGCTCGCTGTGAACCCTAACCCTTTGTAGATGGTCTTTGATCTCGATCACGGGCGTTGTCTCTGATTTCGAGGAGGGGATGCTCAGCGAATACTGGTACTGTACTGTACTACCTAGACCGCTTAGGACAGACCAAATTCCTGACAGGTTTTTTTTTAGGTTCTCATCATTGGGCAGTCTGTGCTGACACAAAAATATCTTCGGACAAAACAATTTCTGAATTTCTGTAGATGTAAAAAAATCTTTCTTTTTTATGTTCATTTACAAGAATCTTGAATAGTAGGTTAAATCTTTATGAAACCTACTGTATACACAAGTGCTAGGGATAATGTTTTCGTATAGTTAATTTAGGTTAACCCCAAAAATAATCCCTGTCTCGTACGAAAGCATCTCCCCCAGCACTTGTAACAACTACTGTATTTGTACCTAGCTTTCCAGAACCTAGATGAAAGTGATTTTTACGAAAGAACAAAAATTACCTATGATATACGGAGCTGACAGGTCCTGAATATTGGGACAACGTGGGCTGGCGCTGACAAAAATGATATGTTTTGGGGATGGGACGCGTGCTGCTGACAGCCGACTGTCCCAAGCGGTCTGGGTAGTACAGTATATTCTCTTCAGCCCAGCCATACTCACCCTGGTACCCTCAATGCTCTGTAAGGGTTACTTCTTCCCCGAGCAGGGCGCAAAAAAATGTTGCCGTAGCACCAATTCACTTCGGTCACTAGCACGTAGCGCAAATACCCGATATCCCCACCCGCATTCCCAGGTGCACAGCGAATTTTCCGAGTTTATACGGTATCCTTCCCGAGCGGGCCGGGAGCTGTTAAGCTACTACTCATAGCGCTGCTCAATATTGTTATCGTCGCGCCTCTCTATTCGATGTTCTGGTCGGGCCTCACAAACTTACGTAACCCCCCGAACCATAGGAGAAGAAGGCTTTGCCGTGTTCTGGGGCATTTGTGTTTGAACAGCATTCATTGTAAGTCACTGTGGGAGGCTACCGCAGTAAGGTGTTGAGGGGGGGGGGAGGTGTTCTCCCTTTTTGATTGGTATGGCAGAGTAGTCTGTAAATCCAGGACAAAGAGAATTTGACAGCCTCACCAGAGCTGTCAACAACACCCGTCGTATTGTATCAGCCATCTGGTATCTACCAATTGCGGAAAGTTACGCGTTGGAGGTGCAGATACGACATCAATGATTTAATAGTGTGGGGCTGTTATGTTGGGGAACTCCGTGCGGGGTAACCGGTACTTCAGGCCCCCCATCACAAAGCAGGATAAGCCAAGGGTTGTCTTCAAAATTGTATCACCATAATTCATTCGTGAGAGATTGCACGCATCCCGAATAAAGAGGTGGCACTAGGGGCTGATTTCTAGAGAGTGGAATTCTCACTATCACTAGAGCGGCCATTCCCCTGCGAAAAATAGAAAGAAATAAGTCTCATATAATACTTAGGGCCAATGATCGTTCCGACCAATAAATGAGGGGGAGAATAACTCTTGTCCCGACTCAACTACCTCATTCACCCGCGTAACCCACCATCTCCCGCGGGCTTCTAATCCCTGGATTCCGGGTCAAAGGCTCCTGAGAAGATCAGCGTTTTCTGGACATAGAAAAATACCGGGCCTCGGAGCGTACTGGATCCCACTAACCGGCATTTGTAAATCCCTTAACCTACAATACCAAACTGGCTGTGGGCTGACAGGCTAGTCCCCACTGATGCACCAATATGATAGTAGACTGCTTGTCTAGGGGAGCACATAGGAAGATGTGCGAGCATGTCTGTGTGAATATTTGGAGATGTTGATGTGTGGGCGGAATCATGTGAGCAAGGGTTTGGGTGAACAGTCACATGTGTGTTTGCATGTTTAGTTGGGGCTGAGCCCTGTTTGTAGTTTTGACTATAAACAGTTCATAGCTAGCATCCTTTCATCGAAAGGGACGACTCTTTTCTCAACATCCTCCTCCAGCAACCGACCTTCGTCTCGATCAATTGTGCTCACACCCTTTCACCACCCCCATCAGACTGCACTACGAGATATAGCAGTTGGTGTAGCAATTGGGAGATGGTATCGTTCCACCCTGTACTTCGTTCCATCGTTGGTACCCCACTCTGCGATTTGGTCCCCGCGGGTCTGGAAGTAAATTCTGATACGAGAGGTAAAGCTGGCAACCGGGATAGCTGCGACGGGGGAGGACGGTATGGCATCCGTGAGTGTCCCCGTCACATACCAGGACTGGCTGCCAGTGTTGAACTCGGTCAAGCAAAGCCGGTTGCCACTGTCAATGGTGAAGACGTGGTGGTTGTCCTCGCCATACGATACGCAAGCGATGTACGCTCCAGGGCCATACACTCTGTCAGACTTGAAGGGGCCTTTGGTGAGGGATAAAATTTAGAAAAGGCACTAGGGGTGCTGCTCTTGGGATTGTGGGAAACTTACCCTCTTTCCACTGGCTGCCCTCTCGCATTAGGTGCTCAACGAAAGTGGTATCGGGTTTTTGGTAGAAGAGCCAATGGTAAAATCCTTTGCCGGGAATTTGCGAACAAGAAATGCTGGTGCCCTGTATTGCGGGGGGGAACTTATGGCCGTAGAACCACTTCCCTACGCCATCTTTACAAACCTCACGGATGGCATTGTCTTTGTCTTGGTAGTAGACACGGATAAACCCGGTGCCACGGACATCCAAACGTATGGCGGAAAGGCTGGAATAGTGGGCCGTAGTGACCATTCCGGTAAGGACACCCTCATACCATCCTTCCTTCCCCTTGCTGTAGCAGCGCTGAACAAGAGATATTGGTCAGTTAAATAAATAAGATTTTGAACCGCCAGGCGGCGAAATACCTCAACAATCTTGTCACCCTCCCCAATGAAGTAGACGCGTTCCTAAGTTATGCTAGTATCTCACTATGGAACTGTAGGCTGTGGATAGCTCGAGTACCTCATTCCCATTATTCCATCCCGTGACTGCAATTCCATTGTTCAAATGAGCCTTCCCAGGGCTTCCCTTGCTGCCAGTGGTCCAGCCGGATTTTGGATTATAAGAGGCTATTTCAATATTGCCCCGCCTGTCTTGGAAATAAACATGAATATTGACTCCTGTGGCGGTGGAAGTGAAGCTGTGGGAAGCAAGGGGAGAGTGAATAAGCATAGCTTCCATAGTGTGCTTTTTTCGTATAAAGAGGTTTAAAATATATCCTATGTTTGTCTTGGATAAAGGTGATTAATGGCGAGAGAGCCTAGGGGGATAGAGCCGAGAGGGATCGTCATGTTAAATACAGTTGGGAAAAGATTCTCACCTAAATGACCACCCTATCTTTACCTTGATTCCGGCGTTGTGTAACATGAAAGAGGGGTCAACGAACAAGGGGGTGAGGTGGGGAACAATACATCAAGGGTGCTATAGAGGACAATGATTTTGTTTGGCCTTACCATTGTTCCCTCTCCCGTGATGATATATCTGTCCGTTTTTCTACCCTTGCTTCCTCCGCTACGAGGGAACTCATCACATATCGATTCACTCATGGGCCATGACTCCTTTGTTTGGGAATCTGAGAACAAATATCACACCCACCTCGTGACCCTTCACTAAGGGGGGCAATTGGCGGGTTGTAAGGTGCCAGGACGTCTTGACGCCAAGAAAGTATCCAGATAATCACCAGATATATTTTTAATCTTCCTTCTGCTCCTTCCTCTCTCCGCTCAATAGATATAATGGCTTCATTCCCATGTGTCTTTAAGTCTGCCGTACAGCATCCCAAATAACTGTCTCCGCAGCTCGGCGAACAGTGAGAATTAGGAGAAAGAGGGAGTACTAGCGGGGGGGAGGTAAGAAACCTGTTGGAGGTCACACACAGAAGGCCGCAGTGGAAGTACAAAGAGATGGGACAGATCAAGAGTGAGAGAAAGAGAAAGACGGGTGTTCTTCTTGTTGTCCTACAGATATGTCTCAGGTTGCCTTACTTATAGCAATTTGTGACATGAATATACATCGATGTGACTTCAGTCATTTCCTAGGTCCACAAGCTCCGAGTGGCCCAACAGCTGGCCCAACATATCCGCACTACTCATCATATTGCGGTAACATTTCCAACACTCCTCCACTTCGATGATTCTCACTGCAATATCAGAGAAGGAAAGAAAAACAAAGTTGACTCGGAATTGCAAGATACAGTACTTGTAGCCTTCTTAAAAACCCAGAGCTCAGGCAAAAACCCTGGGGGAAAAAAGCTTTGAGCAAGGGAAAAGAGTGCTACACAGGAGATGAAGGAAGGTAACAAGGAAGAAGGAAAAAACGTATTGACTAGTATATAGTTTCTAAGCATGGCAAGGAGTTTCCAGTTTCGTGTAGTCCTATTCAATGAAGGTGCATCCAGAAGGCAGTTGTTGGAAGCAGTTTGGTTCCAGTGTCAGCAATGTTTTCAGTTGTCAGAGTATGTTCTAGTGAGATTTTGCCATGTTCATGTTGAATTTTCTAATTCGTTTCATATATATATTCTTCTTGATAATATCGTATATTCCTCTACTTAGTATTATTTCTAGTTCACGGACATTACTACAGCGGAGTATGTATTA